TACATACATTAAACATAATAGGACCTTGATGCACGTCTTTTTTTTTCGGATCAAGTTCAAAATGGCCGACTGGCGGCCATTTTGTTAAAGAATTCAGTTCTGGATCCGTATCCAAGACATGTCTGAATTGATCAAGTTCAAACTTCACACACACATGGTACATCATGTCACAAATAGATATGTGCATTTGTTTCATGATCTGCTTAACAATAGCGGAATGATGGCCATTTTAAGGCCGAAAATGCATCAAAATCACGTATTTTCACAATTCCAGAACCGGATCTCAGTCATGCATGGATGGATTTTGTTCAGATTTAGCACAATGTGTTGTACATATGCAGGTGCATTTCGGTCATGATCTGCTTTGAATGTATATGTCACTCAAATATGAACGGAACGGGGACGTGTCATTGACAATGACTTGTTTTCTAATTAGCATAATAATTCATAATTTTTTTGTTCTGTTCTGTTCATATTAGTTACCTGATTTTACATAATTAGTGTTCAGCTTTTCCATCAATATCTCATGTACAAGTAATTTTGAATTAATTTTTAATGTCTCTTCAATACTCTCAGCGCACGGGAGTTCTTTCTAAGCTTTCTTTGATTATGGATGGATTTCGTTCAAACTTAGTACTTACATTAGACATTATAGGTTCCTAATGTACATCGGATCGGATTTAAAATGGCTGACTGGTGGCTATTTTGTTTTAATGAATATGCTTCTTGAGCCATATCTCCAACTTGCTTTGACTGATTATGTTCAAATTTTTAATATTCATTAAACATCATGTCATAGATACAGTACAGTTCTTGCAGAAGCTTTGGCTTCACTTCAGCGTCAGCTTCGCTTCAGCATCGCATCAATATGGCATTTTTATGGCTTCAGCGTCGCTTCAATGTCGCGTCATAAAAAGTTGAGGCGGTCATCGCTTCGTTTCATTGTGGCCTCATTATGGCGACAATGTGGCATCAGCATCGCTTCATCAAACAAAAAAGTACAGAACTCATTTGCCCGCTTCCGCTTTCCAATCGGTCGCTTTTGCAACCACTTGTTGAATTTCCGCGTTATTTTCGACTGTGCAAAAATTCGGACTACTAACAATTTTTTGGTTTTCACAGATCACAGTTACTAGTTTAGTATTTACTAGTTTAGTAACCGTGCATGGGTGTTGAACAACCGTCAAAAGTTCAAATACTTTTTGTTTTAACTATCTATAATTATATGCAAGCAATCTGACCCTTTGACCTAGATTTGGCTGGGATTGACTATTTTATTTTAAACAACTTATTCTGACGTGACGCACTGCTACAAAATGTATTTCAACAGAAGTACGACATGGTTGTCTGGGTTTCTTTTCCTGACTGTGTTGAGTTTACGATTTGTATAATTATTGTTATTTCCCGCAAGGAGAAGACAAGCCGAAGGACCATGAAGCTAAATAGAAGTCCCACGCATGGACTGAGTGAAAGAAAATATTTCCAAGGCTAAAATAAAACCTAATATCTCTTTGTGTATTTGTCAATTTTGCATATATTTAGTATGACAGTATGTTGGTAAATATCTGGAAAAATCTCGTTTTTCGTTAATAATTTCATTTGTTTGAAATGTCTACTGACCGTGTGGTTCTCTCGCAAAATCCCGTTGATAATACGGACAAATATGGTTCTGTGACCCAGGCTGTGTGTTCCGATCAGGTGACTCTCAGCAAATCAATGATGTTGTAACAAAGCATATTTGACGCTAATTTAAGGGTCGTCGTACCATCCAATCTTCGGCGTCGATTCACTGTGCTGCGACAGGCTTCACAATTATTCACTAAAAAACATCGGTATATTTTAACAAACGGCCGGGATTTGACCTCAGTTCAAAAAAAGAAAAAAAAAAACTGGGCTGAGATACAAATCATAATTAAACAAGATATCTTTTTAAAATGTCATTTTACTCTTGGTCATAATTTTTTATTCCCCTTACCGCCTTGAATTTCAAATGGATTACATATCAAACATCTGTACATGTTTTTTTTTTTACTCTACTGCTTTTCCGTGTGAAAATAATGAGGTCATACTCATGTCGCAATACTTTGAAGCTGATGCCATGTTGATGCCATGAGACTGCGAAGCTGAGGCCACGATGATGCCACAGAATAAGCGAGGCGAACACAGCTTCAATTGTCAATGACGCGAAGCTGATGCCACAATGATGCGATGCTGAGGCTACAATGAAGCCATGCGTAGGCGACAATGATGCCACAAAAGCCAAAGCTTCCGCGAGAACTGTACTGTATACAGATATATTGGTTTGACGATCCTATTCAAAATGACCGAATGGTGGCCTTTTTTGTGCTAAAAAAATCATCAAATATCAAGCATTTATGGATGGATTTCATTCAAACTTGTTACATACATTAGATATTACGGATTCCTAATGCACGTCATTTTATTTTTCATATCAGATTCAAAATGGCTGACTGGCGGCCATTTTGTTATAATGAATGGGCCTCTAGAGCCTTATCTCTGACATACTTTGAATGATTATGTTAAAATTTTATATATGTATTCAAAATGGCTGATTTTGTTTCAATTAATGCTGTTCCAGATCAATATCTCTCAATATGGAAAAGTACTCGTTTGACGATCAGATACAAGATGTTTATCATTTTAATGTTAAACCATCATCATAATCATATTCCTGACATGGTTATATTCCAGCTATATTACTATAAACAAAACTATATATCTTAAATTCGATAACTAATGGGGACTGTGCCATGCATGGCTTGTTTAATTCATTAAAATAATCTTCTTCATCTGCAGGATGACTATCAGATAGTTGAGATGACTGATGAAACAGTGAAATCAATGCCGTATCTAAATGAGACCAGCTTGGTTGTCAAGCAGCCAGTCACTAGGTTCCATTCGCTGCCAGACAGCTTTATGTACCAACCAAGGAGCAATCATGTTAGCACTGCCATCGACAATAATTTACAGATTCCAGGTATTTATCTTGAAGTGTCATTCGCCAGGCTGCTTTAATTTCATATGTCAGAAATTGCAGTATTTAGTTTATATCATCTTTAGCCAATTACTACAGTCATTTAAATAATAGTTAGATATTGTTTAACTTAGACAAATAATATAATTCCTCAGATGCACTTAGTCACGAGTACCATGCACATAGTCACGAGTACCATGCACATAGTCACGAGTACCATGCACGTGGTTACAAGTGCCATGCACATGGTTACGAGTACCATGCACGTGGTTACAAGTGCCATGCACGTGGTTACGAGTACCATGCACGTAGTCACGAGTACCATGCAAGTGGTCACAAGTGCCATGCACGTAGTCACGAGTGCCATGCACATGGTCACGAGTGCCATGCATGTGGTCACGAGTGTCATGCATGTGGTCACAAGTGTCATGCAAGTGGTCACTAGTGCCATGCACGTGGTCACGAGTGTGCCGAGTGTCTGTGTTTGATCTGTCCATTCAACACATACTGACTATTTTGTCAAATCCAATTTATCAAAAAAGAATTCTTGCTCATCAAACTTTTGTGGGTAATCTGCTTCAACTGAGTAAGTATGTACAGTAAAACCTGTCAAAATCGATGATAACTAGAACTGGGATCTATCGTCGGTTCTCAGAGGGAGTCTGTTTATTCAGGGTGGGCGTGACTTTGATTGAAACAACAATTACATGTGCTGTAAACACAGGACAAATGAAAGACGCCAGAGTTTGTCTCATGATTATATTTAAATTTATTGTATTGTTTCAATAAAATAATTTACCAAACGAAACAAGAATATTATGGTATGTACATGAAATCAATAAACATTAAAATAACTGTTCGAACAGACCAGTTAAGTATCGCATATGTAACTAAAGGCATTCATCTTGAATGACATCACAACGTAAGTTCAGATGAGCTACATGTAATTTTAATAATTTATGCAGACAGTCGATTTTGCTGTTAAGTCAATGAATCAAAATACAATGTTTTGACTGCTTTAAAGTCTTTTTTCAACAATTTTGTTTTCCTTTAGAATTTTGAAAACTTGGATATCTGTCAAGTAACTGGAGTCTTGGTTTATTGCAAAGTTCTGTAATCTTGTCAACATGTCTAGCATGTCTGGGGGTTGATAATTACTGACTGATAAGACTGTCGTTGCAATGTATGTTATCGTTGTCTGTAGATTCATGGTTTTCATTGTCTGCAATAAAATTCTCAACAGTCTGTTGCTGCCACTCGCCGTCATATGTTGCTTCAGTCAGTATACATTCATCAAAGTGAAGGTACATCAACGCTGCACTGTGTTTGTAGGTCTGCAACTTCTGATTTCAGATTTATTTGTTGTCGTCTGCTTCTTTGCCATCACCAATTTCAATCTTGAAGCCCCTTTTACGGAAACATTCGAAAGCACAAAATTATCGATTAGAATCATTATGAAAAGAAGAAAACTTAATGTCTTTTGCTCGTTTACGAGGTGATAATGCAGTGCACTTCACTGCAACTGAAGGTGATGACACTGATCGCGATGTGTGTGGTGTGAAAAACTTGGTGTTCAGAGTTGACAGTGGTCAGATTTCACATGTTGTTTTAACATAGGTGTCTATGGAGAAATTTCGGGGCTACAGACCTCCAGGGGTCCATTTTGACAGCTTTTACTTTAGTGTAGACTGAGGTATGTACAACTTGGAAAAAGTGCCATATGCGAGTACCAAGTTGCGAGTCGCAAATAGCAAAATATGCCATATGCTAGTGGTAAAAACGGCATATGCGAGTGGTAAAATGTATCATTTGCTAGTAGCAAAAAAGCCCTATTCCATAATAATACATCGAGACGAATCGATAGTATACGTAAAGAAATTAAGTGCATGTTGAGTGATACAGTAAGTTTGCATGTTTACGAGACGTCCCTCACACTTGGAATGTATTTACACCAACCCGGATCAAATTTGAATTGAAACAAAGAAGCGAATGCCGTTGTTTGATGGAATAGAGAGACAATTTTTATGGGTAAATGCTAGTAGAAGACTTAGCCTCAATGCCCTAAACACTTCGACCTAGCCACTTCACTTGTACAAGTAGGAACAGTTTTATGTTTTGTTAAAATAAGCATGGACATGTTAGCGTTGAAATAATCATAGAAGTACAAGTAGAAATAATCATGCAGTACAAGTAGACTCGCTGAACAGGAACTCACACGCGAGTCAATGGAAACAATGGCTAGTTTCAAAGCAATTTTGTCCCAGACAAGACGTGGACAACAAACTTGCTGTTTTGCTGATTAGGAATAAGGTGATGTTAATTTCGTGGTATTTCAACAGTTTTGTAATGAAGTACAGGCCCTCCGCTAAATCCTTCCATATACTTGATTCAAACAAAGTTAGCTTGGACGTTCACTTGCGAGACATAACAAAAAAAACGCAGCCAGTGATACATTTCGAAAATAAAAATACTAAATAAACGCATTCAGAGGCGCCGACAACGCGCGTTGGAAATAAATAGAACACGTTGTGACACAGTCTCACCAGGCATGTTCTGTAAAGTGGAAACATCTGTTTACAAACGTCGTGTAGGGAAATTTACAAGTACAAGAACATAAAACAAGTACAACACATCATAGTCAAATCAGTAAAAAAGAGATATATGAACTTCATGATATTTATCAAGTAAAAGTACACTATAGCATGAAATCGTTGATCATTACCCCGGTAGTAAAAAAAATAAAAATCTAGAGTACAAGTAAACGAAGATACATTCTACCATTTTACTCTCGTAGATTCACTTTATTTTTTAGCTCCGCTGTCGACTTTGTCGAGCGGAGCTTATCATATGAGTGATTGTCCGTCGTCGTCTGTGTCAATGTTTTACTTTTTCGACATCTTGAAAACTACAAGCCTGAATGCTTTGATACTTGGTGTATATGTACCTTGGGTAGACCTCTCTCAGATTTGTTCATTTCATGATGATATCTTCAATTCTCTAATTTTTTGTGAATATTTTTGTCATTTTTGGTAAAAAGTTATATTTTCAACTTCTTGTTAAAAACCGCAAGTCCAATTGCTTTGATATTACATATATAGGTACTACATGTGGATCGCTCTCAGATTTGTTCATTTTGTAATGATGGCTTCAATTTTCTAATTTTGGTAAGTATTTTTGTCATTTTTGGTAGAAAGAGATATTTTCGACTTCTTGTTAAAAACCTCAAGTCCAATTGCTTTGATATTACATATATAGGTACTACATGTGGATCGCTCTCAGATTTGTTCATTTTGTAATGATGGCTTCAATTTTCTAATTTTGGTAAGTATTTTTGTCATTTTTGGTAGAAAGAGATATTTTCGACTTCTTGTTAAAAACCTCAAGTCCAATTGCTTTGATATTACATATATAGGTACTACATGTGGACCTCTCTCAGATTTGTTCATTTCATGATGATATCTTTAATTCTCTAATTTTGATGAATATTTTTGTAATTTTTGGTAAAAAGTGATATTTTCGACTTCTTGTTGAAAACCGCAAGTCCAATTACTTTGATATATTATACATATAGGTACTACATGTGGACCTCTCTCAGATTTGTTCATTTTCTAATGATATCTTCTGTTCTTTAATTGACATGTGCATTGCTAACAGCGGAGCTTAGTGGGCTTGCCAAGGCTTAAAACCTGCAAATTGTAGTACAAACATCTCCTTTGGCACGAATGTAGTCCATGACCATATAAAGAATTTAAGATATGGACACAATCTTGGGTGACCTTTTTTAACCCTCATTTGCATAAATTAAAAATGGCCACCACCAGCAAATAGTATCCTGACGTGTTTATCAATATATCTGGTTCTTGTCGGGATATTTGTAATATGTAGGGATCTGAATGTATGTTTTTGATGACAGATTATCTGATAAAATAGTAACGTTGGTGCCATGAGATCAATTTATATCCTTACAGCATAGGTCTAGGTTAATTTGGCCAATTTTAATCAAAATTTATTAGTCCCCGTTCGGACGCAGTCCGAAAACGGGGACTTATGTTTTGCCCTGTATGCGTCCGTCCGTCCGTCCGTGATCACCTGTATCTCGAACATGCATGGACCGATTAAGTTCAAACTTCACTCATACATCACACATTATATGGGACATATGCACATGCATTTTTTTCATGATCTGATTAACGATAGCCGAATAGCGGCCATTTTAAGGCCGAAAATGCATCAAAATCGCACATTTTCACCATTCCGTACCCGG